TATGACAAGGAATGCTTACATGACGATGTGAAAAAATGTGACTGTTGATCTCATAGATTATATGGATTATGCGACACTGTGGATAAATAATAATGAACAGGTGACTTCATTGGCGTTGGGTGTTCTGGTACTCTTATTTCTACCACTACTAAATGCAGCAAAGACGCACCGTGTCTTGACTGACAGCGAATCCCTCTTGTGTGCATTTCAGATGCATAAGCTTGTAACCACATATTTGTCCTGATTCTTCAATAACATATGTTATATTTGGGATTACACTTTCTCAGTAAAGTACAAATTCTAGTACTTTTGTTGGATTGAGTCCCATCAGGGATTCGAACCCAGAATCAGGCATCCAATCGCCAGCACACAAAGTCAGCCGGCTCAGCCACCGCGACTTCCAGCCACCGCTGGCGATAAGGTGCCTGACTCTGAGGGTGTGGGTTCGAAACCCGGATGGGACTCAACCCAACAAAAGAACTAGAATTTGTACTTTACTAAGAAAGTGTAATCCCAAATATAACTAAGTTACATCTGACCACTTTCTAAATGGCACTGTGTAATCACTGATTTTGCCACCTCTTCTACCTCCTTCACTAGTATGTCTTCGCCTACACAGATTCAGTCGTTTTGATTTCCTTTTTTAAAGTCTTCATGCTGATAATGAAGCCATTTACATGGGCCAAACAAGACACAATTTCTGAATACTGCATGCTAAACATGAAACAAATGCATATGTTTTGATCAATGACTTCATCCAAGATGCTTAACCCAAACAGAAGAAGTGAATGACTACTGGTTGACTTTTTCAAACATATTTATAAGATCCTTAAGTCCTAATTAGGAGATACTAAGTCCTAATTAGGAGATAGCTATGTCCTAATTAGGAGATATTAAGTAATAAGGAGATAGTATCACCTAATTAGAAGATAGCTAAGTCCTAATTAGGAGATAGCTAAGTCCTAATTAGGAGATATCTAAGTCCTAATTAGGAGATATTAAGTCCTAATTAGGAGATAGTATCACCTAATTAGGAGATAGCTAAGTCCTAATTAGGAGATAGATTCCTGAAAATGACGTCATTGTAGAGGTAAATTCCTGGCGCCAGAAAATGATCATGCCTGCAGATCATGCCTGCAGTGTTCCGCTACGGATGTGAAAAAGTACGCATTCCAATTGAATATTTTAATATCATTTCCCTGTACAAGTTGAGAACACCGTAATGACTCAATAGTTCTAAAAATGGATGCCACGACAAATTACGTGTCTGCTTAGAGTTGCGAGGTTGGTACCCTCGTGTGTGGGGGTGAGATGAAATGGGAATCCCAACGAGGTTATTGCACTCATAAAGCAACATATTTATACAGTATGTGACTGTGTCGAACAAATCTGAGGCAATCTCTAAAATGTACTCTTTACGACAAAATAAACTAATCATCAAAATTTCTTTATTTCTGTTTGATCGTCTGCTATTTTATTGAATGCAGTTATGTACTACCAAGGTGTTTTGAGTAAATGTACTGTTGTCACCGACTTCTAAATTACATCCATGTGATTAATAGGTTCTTAATAGGACTTGTTGCCAGACCCGTGAAGTTCCGGATTAGAATTTGTCTTCAGCTACCCATGTTTGTCGTAAGAGGCGACTAACGGGATCGGGTGGTCAGGATCGCTGACTTGGTTGACACCTGTCATCATATCTCAATTGCGCAGATTGATGCTCATGATGTTGATCACTGGATTGTCTGGTCCAGACTCGATTATTTACAGACCGCCGTCACATAGCTGTAATATTGTTGAGTGCGGCGTAAACAAAACAAAATGTAGTCCAGAACGGCGTCGACCATCGTCGACAAATGTGTTTGGTGTATGGCACCTACAGTCAACTGATGTCAGATGCTTCTGACAACGATGTGGAAGCGCCCCAACTTCAACATGCCTATGGCAGGTAAACGTTCAGTATTATGTAACCGTCGCATGATCATTTCTGTTACTACCTTAATGATTAAAGGCGTTTAAGCATTTGGTTCCAAGAAAACAATATGCAAGTCAGAGTGACAATGGTAAATCTGACATGCTACCACCGGCACGTGCTGTCACGTCAGGTCACGTGATTCATGACTGTCACAATGCTGCCTTTTGAAGTTTAATTTCTGATTTCTGCGGAAAATGTTCTTGTCGCCTACACTACTTGCCAAACATTGGTGTACGCTCCTGTATTTTCAAATCAAACAAATACCCCATTACTTTTTTCGAAGGAATACACACACAGATGCACATATAAACACATCGTTGAATTCACAATAAACCATCAAAGTTTGAGTACAGGCAGTGGTCTTCATAGGAAGGATACAGGAAGTATTTACATAGACATGGAAATATTCATCGTTGTATTTATATAGACAAGAAGGAAATATTCATCGTTGTATATATATAGACAAGGGAATATTCACCGTTGTGTTTTAGTCTAACGGAAATGCACTTCTATTTGAGACCAACAACAAATAGGGTGACTCATATCCATTGTTTTGCATTGACAGAACAGTCGTGGTATGACCTTCACTCTGTATGTGACGCTCACAGGGGGTCTATCCGCTGATTAGACGGAGCTAACCAGTGTAGCGCAGATTGGCTTCATAATGCATTTCAGTAGCCAAAAAGGTTGTTTTTCATTTGGTACATCCTCCCTCCGTCACCTTACTAAATTAGACTAACGCTTAGTCTTTTAATAGATATTTTTTTACATTCTGATGCAAACAAATTATTCCATTTAAACTGCAAAGGAGCCCCGGAGAGCTCAGATATTTGGAACTGATGAAATGTAGATTACCGTCATCTAGAGATTTGTAATGGCAGAAAGGGTTGGTCGTAGAAGGAAATAATGTGGTTCAGGGACTGTGAGACAGACTGTTCCCGATCCTGAACTCGAAACCTACTCTGGGCTGCAATTTCCTTATTAATTCCAGTCGGCACCTAATTAGGTCACCGAGGCCATACACATTAGCCATTTTGAAGTCGTGCATTAGAAATATAAAAACATAAGTAAGGATGATAAACTTACTGTTTACGCGAAAACCTGGTGTATATTTTGTTTGCCCGTTGGGCCAAAATTAATCGACCTGAAGAATACTAATCTCTTGCATTGATTGACCTTTAATCCTGACCCGTGAAGGTCCGGGTTAGAATGAACCTTCAGTAACCCATGCTTGTCTCCCCGTGAAGGTCCGGGTTAGAATGAACCTTCAGTAACCCATGCTTGTCTCCCCGTGAAGGTCCGGGTTAGAATGAACCTTCAGTAACCCATGCTTGTCTCCCCGTGAAGGTCCGGGTTAGAATGAACCTTCAGTAACCCATGCTTGTCTCCCCGTGAAGGTCCGGGTTAGAATGAGCCTTCAGTAACCCATGCTTGTGGTAGGCGACTAACGGGATCGGGTGGTCAGGCTCGCTGGCTTGGTTGACACATGTCATTGGTTCCCAACTGCGCACATCGATGCTCATGCTGTTGATCACTGGATTGTCTAGTCCAGACTCAATTATTTACAGACCGCTGCCATAAAGCTGGAATATTGCTGAGTGCGGCGTAAAGCTAAACTCACTCACTCACTCCTTTTATATTTATTGAGCTTGGTGGATAGGTCCCAAGTTTCATCATTAGCTGAGTGGCAGTTATCAATGATGAGTCAACTTCAAAAGAATTGATTAGGAAATACCAATTGCCCCCACTGCAGATCAAACATATTTCTTGAGCTTTTCTCTTGAAATAACCAGCAGAATCTCTTTGCTAGTTACAGTAGATATCAGTCAGTATCTGAAAATGAAGAGATTCTCTGGGTTCCTTTCATTTGATATTATGTAATTATAATGTATGTAATCTTACACAAAGAACTAAAACAAAATTTCAGTTTAGTGAAGCAACCGCCTATCTCATGCCCACATATCTCAAAGACACCATTCTCTCAGCATCCACCTGAAACATCCACTTCAGACAAACCATAGTCAACCACCCACACCCACCCATCTCACTCTCATACCCACCCACCTACATAACATACCCTTACATCAGATACACCACTGTCAGTGTTAAAGTTCCATTAGCACATGTGATACATGTAGTCTCACCTCAGGCAAATGAGTTTGTTCAAAAATGCCTCTGTTCACACAGCAGAAAATGGGTACCCGGTTGGATAAAGTCATGTGACTATAACCTTCTAGCGCCTATCAGGCAGCTTGGGTTATCCGGGGTAATAATCATCAGATTCTGATTAAGCGCCACGAGCAATCACTTGGTGTTTGGAGACAGTGCCTATTGCAGATGACTTATTATTATTATTAAATATCAAATTGATTTACATCACACTGTCAATAAATATTACATACAATACAACAACAGTATCCTTTCCTCTTGTCTCATATGGGTGGTGGGGTAGCCTAGTGGTTAAAGCATTCGCTTGTCATGCTGAAGACCCGTGTTCGATTCCCTACTTGGGTACAATGTGTTAAGCCCATTTCTTGAGCTCCCAGCCGGGATATTGCTGGAACATTGCAAAAAGGATTGTAAACCATACCCACTCACTTACTCTTGTCTCTCACATGACTACATATCAGTCTCAACTAACTTGCAGTCTCCATGGAGAGCAACAATGTTTCATGCCATTTCTCAGGCCCACCAAATTGGACTGCTTTAATGGCTAGTAGGAACTTGACAGCTGCCACCACCATCTGTGATATTTCTAAGGCACCCAACATATTCCGTGTGTGTGTGTGTGTGTGTGTGTGTGTGTGTGTGTGTGTGTGTGTGTGTGTGTGTGTGTGTGTGTGTGTGTGTGTGTGTGTGTGTGTGTGTGTGTGTATATATATATATATATATATATATATATATATATATATATATATATATATTACTGACATTAGATATTTTCATCCCAAGGTGCCATTGGTTGCAGGTCATCAAAGGTCAACCTCACAAAAATATACTTTATACACTACAAACACACAGCGAATTCCTTAATTTATAGTTTATTCAGCCAAAAGGGGCTCTTTCTATACATAAACTTTATACAAATGCAAGACTGCTCATGCAGTCCAAATGTATGAAAAAGGTAAATATCAAAGATATGTTAATAAATTAAATAATAAATAAATACTAAGTACTATATACAGTCTGACTCCTTCTTTAGGCGACACTCACACAAGAGAACACAGTTTCCAATCTTGCACATCTTTTCATATTTGATTGTTTGCCTTTTCACCTATCTGATCATCTACCAGTCATTCTGACATCATTACCTGAGGGGCGGTGGGGTAGCCTAATGGTTAAAGCGTTGGCTCGTCACGGCGAAGACCTGGGTTCGAATCCCCACATGGGCACAATGTGTGAAGCCCATGTTGCTGGAATATTGCTAAAAGCGGCGTAAAACCAAACTCAGTCAGTCAGTAATTACCTGAAGGCAGACATATTCAAACAGGGATTTACCGTGAGTCCTTTTTTTACGGTCCCTGGGACTCATACTCTTAATTTTAAGGGGTCCTGGACAACAAAATGGGGGTCCCAGACACTTAAATATTATTATTAATATTGTTATTGTATTTTGTATGATGATCATCACATTAATTGTTACAGTAATTGAATTGCAAATGATACCAAAATCCATCTAGTAGCAAGCTCTTTGATAACTTATTGTTACCTGATATGAATTTTTACAAAAAGGTATTTGGACTTTTTCTGCATCCCTGTGGAAATGCTAAATTTCGTAGCGTCCATTGTCATTTTTTATGTGTATAGGACGCAGGAATTCGCGTCCCGTAAATCCTTGTTCAAATCTCATCAGGTCTTTCTATACCATTTTACAACAATATCACCAAGTAACCATAGACATATGTGACTAATTTGCTATGTGGAATATGTGCTAGTATATGTATGTCAAAATAACACCAATGCAACTCAACACATACTGTGAATGAATTTTCAAAAATGACATCTTGGAAGACATAGCCTCTGGCAGTCAACTCAGTAGAGTATGAACATTTTTGTGCAAAGGAAAGACAGTAGGATCGAACTGGCATTCTGGCAATAATATAATATTCAGCTGATTTCATAAATGCATACAAAATATACAAGTAAACATTTCAGTCAAGATGAATAGTGCAGGTTCATATACACCCTATTAAGTTTCAAGAAGAAATTCGCACTGTAAAAGCAATTGCTATTTTAGACTGACAGTGGGGATTCGAACCCGGGTCTTCGCCGTGACGAGCCAACGCTTTAACCACTAGGCTACCCCACCGCCCGCTATTTTAGAATGTATTAGAAAACGATATTCCCATGTAAGGATTGCTTGCAAAACTCCTATTGGAAAGACAGGCACAATACCTACTGACAAACACCAGATGCACTGGACAGTGTCCTATTTTGGCATTGTGACATCGATCAGCTCCAATGATTCCTCAACTGAGTCAAGACATGAGGTCATCCATTGCCTCTGTGATTCCTCAACTGAGTCAAGACATGAGGTCATCCATTGCCTCCGTGAAGTTGACAAATCCAAGGAGATCTGTGACGTCCAGTTTGGTTTCCACGGTGTGGTAGAAAAACTCTGGTGCCTGATAACAGAATTTGATGATCATGAGAACTTGGTCATAGAACTATTTCATCTTGAAAATCAATCCTTTAAAAAGGCTGATAACAAATATATTTGGGGAGGCAGTTCATTTACCTTTCTGGGCTTTGACAGTCTGACATGTGTCATCCATATTTAAACATCAATACACAGGAGATCGTCATTTTTCTTCCCGGTTTTACAAGCCATAAAATATCGATAATGGATCTTAATACAATATGAGCCAGCATGACATTTTAATCTGAACAGTACTTAAAATCCACACAACTCAGTCATCTTGTTCCATATGGATTATCACATTAACTACTGTCATAAACACTCTCTGTCCATATTCCAAGATACTGTCACATACATTATTTACTCTAAGGGACAGTGTCTGCCTATGTTCCAATATATTGCCATTCACAGAGGGAAAGTCAAGTCCTACTCATTCAATCTTCATTCCAGACTAGCTGTTGATGCAACACAATACCTTCCAGTTTTTCAATCGCCTTGGAACTAGTGCCACGATAAATCAATGGCACTAACTGACATACTTCAGACAATATAAGCTCCACAGATTTTACTGGAGCTTCGGGTATGTTGATCACCAAATGAGTGCACAGCTTGACACAAGTTATTTCCCTTTAAGCAGTAGCATTTCTGATAGTGACATAATGCATAATTGACTGATACATGTTGAATACATTCTATATTAATCTGTGATAGATACTTAAATGATATTAAATACACCTGATCACTCACCTCATATCTCAGCTGTTTCAGAAAAGCAACTTCACGGCCTGTTAACTTTTCCAATTTGTTCCTGAAACAAAAGGGTAATGTATTGTTGTGATAGTTGAAACATGTCTGATGGAAAGTTTATGTTATCATTCTTAAATAATACAAATCAATCACAAGAGACAACATAAAGTAATACACTTACATTGTGTAGAGTGGAAAGACATGTACACAGTGGAGAAACATTGTATACAGTGATGATGAAACATTGTGTACAGTGATGATGAAACATTGTATATAGTGGAGAGCCATTGTATACAGTGATGATGAAACATTGTATAGAGTAGAGAGACATTGTATATAGTGATGATGAAACATTGTATAGAGTAGTGAGACATTGTATACAGTGATGATGAAACATTGTGTACAGTGATGATGAAACATTGTATACAGTGATGATGAAACATTGTATATAGTGGAGAGCCATTGTATACAGTGATGATGAAACACTGTGTACAGTGATGATGAAACTTTGTATAGAGTAGAGAGACATTGTATATGAAACATTGTATGATGATGAAACATTGTATACAGTGATGATGATGATGAAACATTGTATACAGTGATGATGAAACATTGTATATAGTGGAGAGCCATTGTATACAGTGATGATGAAACACTGTGTACAGTGATGATGAAACATTGTATACAGTGATGATGAAACATTGTATACAGTGATGATGAAACATTGTATACAGTGATGATGAAACATTGTATACAGTGATGATGAAACACTGTGTACAGTGATGATGAAACATTGTATACAGTGATGATGAAACATTGTATACAGTGATGATGAAACACTGTGTACAGTGATGATGAAACTTTGAATAGAGTAGAGAGACATTGTATACAGTGATGATGGAACACTGTATAGAGTAGAGAGACATTGTATACAGTGATGATGAGACATCGTATAGAGTAGAGAGACATTGTATACAGTGATGATGAAACACTGTATACAGTGATGATGGAACATTGTATACAGTGATGATGAAACATTGTGTACAGTGATGATGAAACATTGTATAGAGTGATGATGAAACATTGTATATAGTGGAGAGCCATTTTATACAGTGATGATGAAACACTGTGTACAGTGATGATGAAACTTTGTATAGAGTAGAGAGACATTGTATACAGTGATGATGGAACACTGTATAGAGTAGAGAGACATTGTATACAGTGATGATGAGACATCGTATAGAGTAGAGAGACATTGTATACAGTGATGATGAAACATTGTATAGAGTGATGATGAAACATTGTATATAGTGAAGAGCCATTGTATACAGTGATGATGAAACATTGTATAGAGTGGAGAGACATTGTATACAGTGATGATGAAACATTGTATAGAGTGGAGAGCCATTGTATACAGTGATGATGAAACATTGTATAGAGTGGAGAGACATTGTATACAGTGATGATGAAACATTGTATAGAGTGATGATGAAACACTGTATATAGTGAAGAGCCATTGTATAGAGTGATGATGAAACATTGTATAGAGTGGAGAGACATTGTATACAGTGATGATGAAACATTGTATAGAGTGGAGAGCCATTGTATACAGTGATGATGAAACATTGTATAGAGTGGAGAGCCATTGTATACAGTGATGATGAAACATTGTATAGAGTGGAGAGACATTTTATACAGTGATGATGAAACATTGTATAGAGTGGAGAGCCATTGTATACAGTGATGATGAAACACTGTATAGAGTGGAGAGCCATTGTATACAGTGATGATGAAACATTGTATAGAGTGGAGAGACATTGTATACAGTGATGATGAAACATTGTATAGAGTGGAGAGACATTGTATACAGTGATGATGAAACATTGTATAGAGTGGAGAGACATTGTATACAGTGATGATGAAACATTGTATAGAGTGGAGAGACATTGTATACAGTGATGATGAAACATTGTATAGAGTGGAGAGCCATTTTATACAGTGATGATGAAACATTGTATAGAGTGGAGAGCCATTGTATACAGTGATGATGAAACATTGTATAGAGTGGAGAGCCATTGTATACAGTGATGATGAAACATTGTATAGAGTGGAGAGACATTGTATACAGTGATGATGAAACATTGTATAGAGTAGAGAGACATTGTAAACAGTCGAGAAACAGCGGAGAGATACTGTATCCAGTGGAGACAGATTGTATAAAGATATGAAACATTGTATGCAGTAGTCTCAGCAACAGAGTATACAGGAGAGTGATACTGTATACAGTAGAGACACATTGCATAGAGAGACAACATGTTGAACACCCAGGATAGACACCTACCCTTTCAGATTATGCTTAGTCAGCCATTTAGCCACATCAGCACTTGTCCACTGTTTGATAGAGTCTGTATCTGGTTTAACTGCTGGAGAGCGGAAGGCAGTGGTTGTCTTGGCTGACTGTACCAATACAGAACAATGTGAGCAAGTGAATAAACACAAAAAATCAAATGGCTGTCAAAAATAATATCCATAATAACTAATAACTAATATCCAGTGCACTTGGTGGAGGGGAAGTGTTCACGACTTACATGGAAAATCATTCTACAGGACAGGATGATAAATGTATTCATGTCTAAGGATGTAAAGATGGTATTAAAGCTATTGATGATAGGTTACAAGACAGCATGATCTGGACCAAGACCATGATGGAGTAAGAGAGTATTGCTTGAATGAGTGAGAGGGTTTAGTTTTATGCCACTGTAAGCAACATTCCAACAATATCACAGCTAAAGGACACCAGAAATGGGCTTCACACATTTTACCCATGTGGGGAATCGAACCCAGGTTTTATCAGAGTGATGAATCAATGCTTTAACTACAAGGCTACCCCTTCACCCTAGTATTACTTGATGTTGTCCTTAGTAATATTCCACAGTCATCCTTTATACATATGCTGACTTGGTTGACACATGTTATCGTATCCAAATTGTGTAGATCGATGCTATTGCTGTTGATCACTGGATTGTCTGGTCCAGACTTGATTATTTACAGACCCCCACCATATAGCTGGAATATTGCTGAGTGTTGCGTAAAACTAAACTCACTCACTCATCCTTTACATATACATAAAAAAACACGCTTTACATGTTGTTGCTGAAAAAGACACTTTACTCGCCTTATGATTAAGCCATGAAACACTGTCACAGTGTGTCAAATCATTTGCATATTATCCTACAACAGACGAAATTGCTCATAATATCAACCCATGAAGGTCCGGGTTAGAATATTGATCTTCAGTAACCCATGCTTGTCGTAAGAGGCGACTAACGGATCGGGTGGTCAGGCTCACTGAAATGGTTGACAAATGTCATCGGTTCCCAATTGCGCAGATCGATGCTCATACTGTTGATCACTGGATTGTCTGGTCCAGACTCGATTATTTACAGACCACCGCCATATAGCTGAAATATTGCTGAGTGCGGCGTAAAACTAAACTTACTCACTCACTAATAATATCATCACTGTATTTTCTCATATGGTTCTTTTATAAACACCTCCGCCATATAGCTGGAATATTGCTAAGTGTGGCGTAAAACAAAACTCTATGGGGGCGTGGTGGGCAAGTTGTCTAAGCCGCCAAGCTAGTGATCCAGCGAGCTTGAGGTGCTGGGATCGAGCAAACATGTGACCAGGTGTAAAAACCTTGGATTCAACTTTGTGTGCAACTTGTGAGTCAACTCTTTCAGTGTTGTCACAACCCCTAGTGTACAGTACACAACCCTGTGCACTTAAAAGAACCCACAAATCCATTGGCAAATGACCAGATGGTGGCCACATGAATACGTGCAAACACCTAGTTTCGGGTACAGCAACGTGCAGTATACTTGGACAAACTACTGTGACTATGTATCCTAATCCACTCAGCTGTGAATTAGTACCCTCGTAAGGATGGGAAAGACCCATTAACTCGGTGCGCTTTGTGGCTGCAAGAGTTGTATGATCCCCAGGGAGTTGATAATCTTCGAAGTGCCGAAGTGCCTGTGAGCAGCCTAGCTGGAACTCGGCACTATATAAATAGTTTATAATAATATAGTAATAAATAATAATAATCTTTTATAAACAACACAGGAATATTGCTGACACCTAAACTACAAAAACATCTTTGTACCTTCCTAACTCCAGCATCCTCTGACACACCAGGTTCTCCATCCGTGAGGCTCCTTTGTAGCTCCTTATTGAGACCGTCTATCTTAGAATCAAAGCTGTATTTGCCGCTGAAGTCAAAGAACAGCTTGGACCCCAGGATCATCCCCAGCCAGCCATCGGGGCGGTACCCCAGTTCCATGACTAGGGGGACGATGGACTTCCTCTTTGAAAACGCATACTCTGCCTCTGTAATAAAGAGTATGGAAGAATAGAAAAATTATGACTTTTCTTTGGGTCTTTGAATGATATTTAGAAGTGATACACATAAGGAAGAGTGAGTGAGTGAGCTTAGTTGAGTGAGTGAGAGTTAGATGGTACATCGAGGCAAAAGCTTTAACCACTAGACTATAAACTCATATAAATTGAAAAGGAGCCCCAGTCAGATGGGAAATTCAGAATCTGAGGGAATCTATACTTGCTGCATTTAGTTCTTTAGCATTGGAAGGAGGGCTGAGCAGTAGGGAAAATAATGTGGTTGAGGGACTGTGAGACAGACTAGTTCTGGTCACTTCCAAGTGACCTCCAATAAGCTGACCATGTGACATGCTTTAAAGATCGACCCTTTGTATCATGGCCTAAAGAGATCTACAAGGAACTTGATGATAAACCATATTTAATTGTATTTAAAACTCAGGATAAAAATTCCATATCATCATTAACATGGTTTTTCTGCCATTAGGGGATAGGTCTGTTTCTGGAAAAATTATTATAAATATTTTTTAGTATTGGCATTTAGAAAGCAAAGCAGATACATATTAGCGTATTTATACAGCAATGACACATCACATCACTTGGGCAATGTTTACATGGTCAAGGTGAGGCCATAGGCCAGTCACTACAGTCCCCAGACAGCTGACCAACTGACCTGCTCTACAGTTTGGGCTGTCCTTGTACCTCCGGGACATTGCTATCAACACCACAGATGCATTCTCGATGGCCTCCGCCATAGCTTGTAGTGTGGAGCCTCCCATGTTGTCAATGTCCATCCACACGTCGTAGCCATTCTGTCTGAGACAGTCCTTCACCTTGATCAGCACCTCCTGATTGGCCCATTGGTAGCTGATCATCACATGACCTTTGGCCTTCTGATCAACTTCTTTGCTTTTTGTAGAAGACACAGACAGTTCTTTGCCTAATTCAGAAAAAGAAAGAAATATGCATGTATAAATATAATATATAATACATGCCATGAAATACATTTTTTAAGTAGGTTACAGATTTGCCAGGCCTAAAAAAGGTGAAAAATGAAAACAGAATCTAAATTGCATGACTGATATATTGAATCTCTTCACACTGGGGCATGGATGGCATCATCATGTAAAACAGAGTTGTGCCCCCTTGGCATGCAAGGAACATATAATCCTGGGTTCAAATCTTCAAATATCCCAATTATGTTGCTTGTGGGTTTCATCAAAGTTATAAAAGTCTCAGATCTGCATCACTTCAGGCTTTCCTGCTACAGTAAGTGGAAATGCTGATACAATTGGAATACTGTTCATAACTAAGTAAACAACCGGCCAACCCACTCATCCAAGACATCCCAATGCCCACCCACCATCCTAATGCCCACCCACCATCCTAATGCCCACCCGCCAGCCTAACTGCCCACCCACCATCCTAATGCCCACCCACCAGCCTAACTGCCCACCCACCATCCTAATGCCCACCCACCAGCCTAACTGCCCACCCACCATCCTAATGCCCACCCACCAGCCTAACTGCCCACCGTCCTGCTTACTGACTGACTGACTCAACCACCAAACAAGGATTTACACAACTGTCTGATGTTGTATGAGACTAATCTACACTAATCCACCTCACCTAAGTCTGCATACTCCTCTGACTGCAGGAGGATCTCCCTCAGGTTCCACAGCAACCCCTGACAAGGCTTTCGGATGTTTTTGTCGGTAGAGCTGCGATATTCTTCCACCACAGCCTCCATCAGACCCGGCTCTTCCATCATCTTCTGTTTGTTGTCTTCATCAAATGCCAGGACCCACAAGGACTCAATCGCCTCTGATGAGGTGCAGTGGAGAAAAATATTAATCAGTTGTCAACACATCATCAATACAAGACAGTTGGCCAGCCAGTAGAGACATCAGGACATCAATTTTGATGTGCTATGGCCATTGACTAGTCCCACTTAACATGATTAATAGAAACTAAAATAACTTACTAAAGTAGAATCCATGAATATCCCTGTAAATATTTGTCTTCAACAACTCAGGTTTGATGTAAGGGGTGACACTAACTGAACTGGAAGGTCAGGCTTGCTCACATGTTTGATGTATGTCATCATCTCCCATGTAGATTGATGCTCATGATGTCAATCACTGGATTTACTGGTACAGACTCAATTATTTACTGACTGGAATTCACACAGGTGGAATATTGCTTAATTTCTTGTTTTCCCACAAATAAACAAACATAACTTAAAATCTTTTAGGACTGTGGATCAACTGGATGTGGACAATTCAAAATAGACAAAAGGACACTATTCTTGATATGCTGAAACCAACTATCCTCAGCCCCATCCTATTCCTGCAGCCTCATCCTATTCCTATTGGGTATCGAGTGGAACCAAGTCGTCTAACTGTGTAACATTTCACAGTGCTGTGTCCCTATATATGAACTCATGACCACCATTTCCTGCATGCTGAAGTCAGTATCTGATGATCATAGGTTCATATCATAGATTTGCCCCTTTTATGCAGGGGCGGAACCCCATCCCCCCCCCCCCTCTCTAAACCTTTGGACTTCATGATTTATGTGTGCAAAACCACCCCCACCCTCCACCCCCTCTCTCTCCAAAATCCTGGATCCTTTAGCTCCTTTAATCACAACTGTGTCATGAAAGTTGAAGACCTTAATCACTTTGGGCTTCCACCAACATCAGGAAACACACTTTGATACAGCTGAAATACTGTTCAAAGGTGGGCTTGCTCCAACCCATTCACTCAAGTGAAATCCCTTCACAAATAAAACTGATTTAAGACAATAAGATGTATGCCGAAATTCTTAACATATATTATGGATATATTTACAAATTTTGTAAAGAGTGTCACTTGACATAATTATCAAGTGGCTGCAGGGTAGCCGTATGATTAAAATGGTTGCACGTAACACCGAATGCCATGACAAAGTTGCAATGCCAAGTTAAATGATGACAAAACTGAGGTGATGGTTATTGGATCCAGGCAAATGCAAAAACAAATTACCACCAAAACTGTTCTGGTAGCAGATGCAGAGATACAAGCTGTCGACTCTGTTAAAGACCTTGGAGTTACACTTGACTCACACCTGGCGATGGACACTCATGTAAATCAACTCTGCAGAATATGCTTCTTTCATCTACGAGCCATTGGCAGAATACGCCATCTCATCAGTCGTGATGCAGCACACGGTCTGGTCCAGGGACTTGTTATATCAAGAATTGATTACTGCAATAGCCTCCTTTTTGGTATTTCTCAGAAGCTGCTATCAAAATTGCAAAATGTCCAAAATACAGCCTCCCGAATCATAAGCAGAACTTCAAAGCTCACACATAACACCTGTCATGAAAAACCTCCACTGGCTGCCTGTTAAATCAAGAATTGACTTTAAAATATTGTGTTTTGTCTACAAATGCCTCAATGGCATAGGCCCAGAATACCTGAAAGAACTCCTTACCCCGTACACTCCAGAAAGACAGCTCCGTTCTCAGAATCTGAACCTACTCTCTGTGCCTCGGTTCAAACTGCAAACTTTTGGAAGGAAATCCTTTGTCTGCACTGCCCCTCTACTCTGGAACTCTCTCCCTATCACCATTAAATCAGCAGTTGACTTTTATTCCTTCAAACGACTTCTCAAGACTCATCTGTTGTCACTGCATTATGACTAGCAACTAGTCCCTTATTGTATATATGTATTATTATCCACTCTCTTTGTTAGCGCTTTGAGCATGGGCCTTGTGCATGGAAAAGGCGCATTATAAGTTCACATTTATTATTATTATTATTATTATTATTATTATTATTCATTTCCCCATATGGGTACAATGTGTGAAGCCCATTTCTAGTGTCCCCCACCATGATATTGCTTGAATATTGCTAAAACTGTGTAAATCCCAACTCACTGCCTCATTATCATCAAAGGGTGAATAATCTACAATTCATTAACACAGACTTATTTGCAAAGTTATTATTCTATTGTACCACTATTATTCTGACCAAACCACTAGTTCATGTACACCATGGAATATATATACCTTTCTGTTCCTCAGTGTTGTGAGATTTGAAAAGCTTCAACAAGAGAGGGAGAGCACCCTGTTCCACCAACATCTTCTTGTTGGCATCATTCCTGGCCAGTCTTCCCACAGCTGAAATAGATCCAAGTTTCAGTTAAGATATATATAGTGGTTTAGTGTCTTACCAAGCCACTTGGACTTTACAGTATTGCTGTATTATCCATGTCTTTATATTTCTGAACCCTGAAAATCCTGGTTAGAATTGATCTTCAGTAACCCATGCTTGTTGTAAGATGCGACTAACGGGATCGGGTGGTCATGCTCACTGACTTGGTGGACACATATCATCTTATCACCATTGCGTAGATCAATACTCATGCTGTTGATCACTGGATTGTCTGGTCCAGACTTGATTATTTACAGACCTTTACAGCTCTTTATATTTCTGCTTCATAGATTTTGTGCTTTAACAGGAAATGAACATCACTGCTGTGTTTCAGTAGATTCCTGACATAATCCAAACATCTTTTTAATTTATTTTTAACCAGGAATCTCTATCAACAAAAACTCCTAGGGTGATAGCTGTTTTGTTTCAACACATTTTAGATTGACCAAAATAACTGAAATTTAACACTGATCACATCCATCAACCCATGGATTCAACCTACAGTAGTTATGGTTCAGACCAATCTGGACCTCCTCCTGGAATCATGCCTGCCATAACAGGTCTGATCACTCTTCTATATATGTATACTATCCATATTGTCTCATGTTATATGAAATACATTTCGAAAAGTGTTGTCAAAGAAAAGGATCATCCATGTTTGTAATATTTAGAAAATTACAGGCAATCTTCAGAAATTGTCATAGACAGAGGGAAAGCTATTCAAATTCAGATTATCTGATAATTATATCGGAAGTCATGGACAAATATATAGGCCAAAACCTCTATAGGCCAAAACCAATTGCTCTGACCAAAAAACAAATACAGCTTGTTTTTTCTACACCTTGCCCCCCTTTATCTGACTAAATTCAACAAACTATAACAGTGATGTGATGATGATGATGATGATGATGATGATGATGATGATAATGATGGCAACGATGAAAATGACTAGAGCTGCAGATACAACAAAAAACAACAACAATGATTTGAGGCCTAAGGAAGAATACAGGTACTTACTCCTTGCCAACTCTTTGGACGACCAACCTCTATTGATGTGTTGGCGTTTTTTCAAAGACCTTTCGAAAATGGTTATCAAGAACTTGATTCCCTCTCTTCGGGACTGAAGCAGGTCACACTCCTTCTCATCCAGGATGTCAGCTAGAGCAGCTATGGCTGACATCCGGGTCATGCCTAGTTTCGAGTCCATGTAAGACAAAAGCACTGGGGTGTAGTTGTGACTCTGTAGGTAGGGCACACAGGAATCGTGCATACCAATGTTATGTACAATACCCAGCATGGTCTTCACTAACAGAGTTTCACCTTTCTGAAATCAAAAAGATCAAGGATTTTGAAACAGGGAGTTTATCATGACATGAAAGTCACAAAAATGACAAAACTTACAATGGGTTGACATTTTTTTTTTGTTGAAAAAATGGGGTCGTTCATCCTTACTCTGGATCTTCTTAGGTTAAATAATGGTACTTATTTGCACCAGGCTTGATTGATTTGAGTCTAAATGTATTTGAGGGGATTTACTTTTACAAATGTTTAGTTCTAATTTTCAAAATCGTGAAAATATGAGATACAATAAGTCTTCAGCAGCCCATGCTTGTTGTAAGATGCGACTAACAGGATCGGGTGGTCAGGCTCGCTAACTTGGTTGACACATGTCATTGTATCCCAGTTGCGTAGATCGATGCTCATGCTGTTGACCACTGGATCGTCTAGCCCAGACTCATTTACAGGATGCCGCCATATAGCTGGATTATTGCTGAGTGCGACATAAAACAACAAACAAACTGAATCTTCAAAGTTTTGATTTGAAAATATATATAAATCATTTTGCATTCATAATGTCAATCTTATCAAAATCAACTCTTATAAATCCGATACGTCTCTGTGACATGCTACCTTTCTGTGAGAAGATCTGGGGACACCTCAAAACGAGGTCGATGGATGAATTTTCTCATCAGCCAATCACCATCAAGGCTAATAGATTCTAGCTAGCAGTTTTCTTGTGGCAAAGATTGAGAATTGGCTATGAGACCAACATATCCTTGAAATGAGAGCTCAACATTCACTTTGGCTTCACCTCACACAATTTTTCAACCATCGACAGAGGTGTCCTTGCATCTTCATTCAAAGAGTTTTCATTTTAAGTTACAAATGTGATCGAATCTGACTCTACACCATTCATATAACTCTTGTTCCAGTTCACTGGAAGCAATAATGAATAAATGAAGTATTCATCTAAAATCATCATTTCTAGTGCTTTACCATAAATTTCAAATTTTAAACAAAAAGAAATAAAGATTTGATTCTCATTACAATTTTGGGGGCTTTTGCCTCCGCATCTCCTCCATCAGCTGGAACCATATCTTCCAGACTTGAGCGAAAACCATGCAGAAAGCCATCCAGCTTACAAAGACACTCACAAACAGCAGGCACAGCATTGGTGAAGTTGATCAGAGCTTTGAGTCCATTCTTCAGAGGATTATTGAAGTCACTGATCACCGTACCTTCCAAGTTCTTATATTTCTTTTCAGTCAGTGTTGTTACCACAAACTTGCCCAAACAATTCAGAAAATTTGTGTCAATAAATATTTGTCCGATTTCCTGCCTTAACTTGTTGATATCTGATTTTGGTGCACCTCGCAATGAATAGTATAATTTACCTGCTGACAGTATGTTAGCTCTAAAACTTTCAGAGGGAACGTTGTCATCAGTATATATGTCATTGTCCATAATGTTGGAAGTTATTTTTCTTGTCCTTGCAATCTTTTTCAGATATCGCTCTGTTACTTCTTCTGGTGTTAGCTTTTTGCGGGGCTTCTTCTGTCCTTGAACTTCACCACCTTGACCTTGACCTGTACCATTTTCATCTCCATCCTCTTGTTCTTGGTTATTATCCTCATCAACTTCATCACCATCAGATGAACTGTCACTTCCTGTTTTGTGTCTAGTATCTTGAGCTGCCTCTTCTCTCACGGCCTCAACATCAGAAGAGCTGGCACTTCCTTGAGCATGTCCGGTCTCTTCAGCAGGTTCTTCTCTGTGCTCTACCTCATTGTCAGCATCCATGTTGGAAGGTTTCTTCTGTGACTGTGTACCTGTACTTGCCTCCACCTGTGTGGTCTTCTCTGGCGATACTTGTGGTTTGTTATTTTCTTGTGATGTGGTCCGAATAATCACAAGGCTTTTAGTTGAAATTTCACTTCCTGACCTAAACTGTTGAACGGATGTCTTTGATATTCCACATCCCATGCCAAAGGACTTTCTTTAGGGTTGTCCTGATCACTCTGAAAATGCAAGAAATTGGTTTATTTGTATCAGTGTCTATAGTAACATTGCATCATTTATCATTCTCCCATAATAGTCGTTAAACAATCATTATATTGATGTCCAAGATATTTTATGGATTAAACTTCTTTTTAATCCATAAAATATCTTGGACATCAATGTACAACTTCTAAATGCCACTGAAAGAAATCATTATATTGTTCCCATTTACCTACAATGAAATTAAAATGTCTGTTCAATTTCTTCTTTACTTGATAAAATATACTAAATTTGTGGCCAGCAAAACATTCATGATACATGTAAATTACAGTTAATATCCAAAGGAGCTGGCTTTTTTGCTTAAAATATATCTGTAAAATAAAATACCTACATTTCTTACACATTTTCATGAAAATCTAATGATTAATATATTCAGGTCATAGACCCTGCAGACAGTTGGCTGACTTTCCAAGTGTAAAATATAATCTGAGATGTCTTTTATTCCATAAACAAACACATAATATCTGCATATTGATAAAAGATGTTAACATAAATTATTAGTTTTTCTGAAAGAATAATTAATTGCATAGCAGGTTGGTGCCAGTTTATGCAGCTAAAAGTGTTAAGAAACGATGAAACACTATCATCAAGCTGGGTTAGTACATCTCTCATTACTTTGATCTGATAATATGTTTAACTTTTACATAAACTCTCTTTATCCAGATGATGAAGTGAAAGACTATCAAGACAAGCACACATTGCAATATAATTAGTTAACTGGTTAACATTGTTACACATATTGTAAGTTAAGCAGTGCTTGTTGCATAGAATATCTGAATGGACCAGGGTAATAATGTAGGTATTGTAATAATGCTTTGACCATACATAGATTAACGTGATTTAACACACCATGAATATGCACATTATAACTGTTTCATAAAAAATATGATCCCTCTCCTTGCCCCCATCCTTATTTATATCAGCTACTATATATCGATACATGTAAAATAAAAAAATAATTCAAAAATAGGAAACACTTCAATAATACTTTTGTATATTGAGTTAACCAGTTGATAATCCAATTAAAGCATCTATATTTGCCTGATCATTCCATCCTTTCATTGCAATATCAACCAGAAAGAACTGCAACAATATAATACAAAATCAAAATAAAGTTGTACAGCTATACTATAACTTTATATAATAGCAGTATCCTGAAAAAATCTTCCCCGCTCGGAGATACATGTATATGACATAAACATGTTGACAAAACAAACATAGATGTGGCATGTGCAAAACCTAGAAAATAATTATTTGTTCATAACCATTATAACATCTGTGTTATGATCGATGCATGCATAAACAATATAATACATTTTCATATTTCACTTTGCCCAACGTCATGCATTTATAAGTGGGTAAGAGTTCCTCCCGTTGCCCCATCCGAAATAATATTTATAAATACAATGTATACTAAAATTATTAACAAAACTAAACACTAATTGCCATAGAGAACTCACAAAATGACTAAAAATCCAAAATTTAAGTTAGGTTTAGGGTTAGGTTTAGGTTTATGGTTGGGGGAATGGAAGGAACTCCTATAAGTGAGCTCTGTCGTACCTTTCCGGCAAGGGATTCAAACGGATACCAGTCGAATAGCTGGGGCAATTCGACTGGTACCCATTCAGTACCCAAAACAAGTACTTGTGCACGCGTTAAAAGCAGCGCACCATCGCATCGATCTCGGCACTGAAGCCTGTTGTGAATGTATGTGTGTACCGACTATGTACAGATATACTCACACAAGCAGTCCAACGTCTACTTTGCTAGTGCCGCTTTAGAGGTCTTGAATATATTTGCTTTTCATGGTTCTTGGGTCTGCACTATAACGGGACAACAGTATTGTTTACAATGGAAACCACAATACGGAAGTGTACCAAGGGAGGTAACTCTATTATGCGACTGAAAAGTATAAACACCAACTTTGTTTTGAGCTCTTTGGTGTTGTCTCAGCTTCTTGCATTGGTGTACCTGAAGCTATGGCAAATATGGCATATATGGCCTGGAAGGCCACTTTAAGGAGTCGCCACTATGCACTTAATGTCTATTAAAGGCAGATAAGCTATCCTGAAATAGTGAAATATCCCCCGAAACAACTTATTCTTGAGATGTATTTCTGTCTTTGATTAGATATGGGCGAGAAGCACTATGATGGCGAGATTGATAAGCCATATATGTAAATCATTTGGTAAAAATACAGTACTTGCCAAAGGAGCTATTTTCCGTAGATGCTCCTCTGGCTCATTGGTATTATTACGACTGTCCTGGTATTATTTTCGCTTGTTTGCAAGTGATATGGTATGCATATATTTGGATTTTTGTGATATGTATAATCCAGACTGGTTAATCTAACAGCTGTATGTAGTTGTCATTTAAAAAAGAAATCCAACGTTTATAGCCACAAAAAATGCCTTCATTTTCATTTTTTCTTAATAATATTCATAATCTTGATTTCATGTAAATACGCTAAGATTAAGATTGAAAATGTATGTTCTCTTGCGAGATTTGCGCATTTGCTTTGTTAAACTACATGAAGCGTAATACAATCACCATCCTTGTCTGTGCATGTTCCGAGTTCTGTTTGTGAGCAAAGGGTGAGTGATTCTGTGAGCTGCCAGGATGTGAGGGTCTGAGGGTGCAGTAATGTTAAGACTTGAAAGTGAAAAGGTATAATGTTTCAAACAAACTGGGCAAGTCAACGGTTAGGTCTTTTTCGTGAATCAATGTTAACTTACATCTGTCAAGTCAAAAACTGAAGTGAGTGAGTGAGTTTAGTTTTAAGCCGCTTTCAGCAATATTCCAGCAACATCACGACAGGGGAGACCAGAAGATGCCATACATATAAATTATCATCATCAAAACTGACAGTTTAAGTGCCTATTTTGAACTTCAAAACGATTTATATACGTGTGGCCTGAAATAAATAATATTAATGGCATAAAGCTTAGTGGTATACTGGGCGTTTATTGTTAACTTTCTTCCTGTTAAAGCGTGGACGACATAATGAATAGATTAATTTTCAAAATTGTCCCCATCAACCTATGATGATCTTGCAATGGATTGACAGGCGAGTAAGGATCGGATGTGATCCGGCTCTGTGGCTTGGACCAGGGAGACTCTGTTGTAGAGTATCCCTGCTTGGACTGACCACGAGAAACAGAACCACGATGACGTAGATATTTGTCAGTCACCGGATTGTTTGGTCCAGACTTGATGATTAACAAGCCTCAGTCACACCAGTGGCATGCGGGATTTTTTATTTGCAAATTTACAATCATTATTTTAAAAGTAAATTATTATTTGGGTTAAAAAGGTCTATTTTGTAATTAGAACTGTATTTGTTACCGGTATGTATTTACTTGCACGATCTTTCGGTTTTAAAAGCATTGTGTAGAAGAGGCATAACATAATTTTGGTTTCTTTGTTTTGTTTGTTCCTTTCGTATTTGCACCCAGCACTCACTCATGCCACGAATCTATTAGCCTTGATGGTGATTGGCTGATGAGAAAATTCACACATCAACCTCCTTTTCAGGTGTCCCCAGATCTTCGCACAGAGAGGTAACAACGTAACAGAGAAGTATCGGCGTTAAAGAGCTTGTTTTAATAAGACTGAAAATATGAATGCAAAGTGATTTTGAAGATTAGATTTGTTTCTTTGTCGTTTAACGCCACATTCAGCAACATTCCAGCTATACGGCGGCAGTCTGTAAATAATCGAGTCTGGACCAGACAATCCAGTGACTGACTTTATGAGCATCGATCTGCGCAATTGGGATACGATGACAAAGTCAGCGAGCTTGACCGCCCGATCCAGTCACCTCTTACGACAAGCATCGGTAACTGTAGACCAATTCTAACCCGTAAAATATCCGAGATATATATTGATTGAATATTTTGAAATACATATTTTCACCACAGCCTTGTAAAAAAATACACCAATATGTCCATTTTAATGTCTGTTTATGTTCACAGTATTCGTTTGTTTATCGGTCCGATGCGAGTGAGTGAGTGAGTTGTTTTTGATGTCTGTTTGAAAAGCATCACATTCTTCCACAGCCAGTCATGTGGGAGTAAAGATTTAAACTTTCGCATGGGCATGGCGCTAGCAAACCAATTATCACAATCATTGCTAAAATCCCGGATTCGATCCCAGGGTCATCAAACAGTGTCACAAGTTGCAACGCCTTAGACGACAGGGTCACCCCTGACATGAGCAGTAGCATTGGAATTGTTCAGGAAGAATGGTAACCTTGAATGCCTTGACCATTGTAAAGTAGCACATTCGTCTAGCTTCATTACATACAGAGGCGGTGGGGTAGCCTAGTGGTTAAGACGTTCGCTCGTCACGCCGAGGACCCGGGTTCGATTCCCCACATGGACACAAATGTGTGAAGCCCATTTATGGTGTCCCCCGCCATGATATTGCTGGAATATTGCTAAAAGCGGCGTAAAACTAAACTCACTTACTCACTCATTACATGCAAAATATTAACTGTGTCCGGCTTTGCACTTACTGATTTAAAGCCACATCACGAACGTTCATCCCCGTGGATGTTATGGGCAAGGGCAGACTATTATTCTAGAAGTCGTGCATAAACAAGATCACCAACGTTTCCGATACTTTATTTATATAATCAGAGTATATTCACACAAAATTTTCTTTAAACGTACTGATAAATGATAATCTTACGTTTTATTCAGCAAATTGGTTTTAGTGTATGATTAGTGCTCAGTGATATCACATGTAACTAACACGACCTATGTCGTTAATGGGAGATTGTAGGTAGGTGGGTAGATGTCAAAAAGACACTTTTCATTGTGCTGGGTTGGTGAATAATTCGATCTAGGACAGAGCATTTGTACATGTAAACTTTGGGGACACAATATGCTACCCCGGCTTCATTTCTTACCGATACGTAACCTGTTCACGTCTAATTCTCTGTACGTTCGGAGATGACATCTAATTGTCTAATATTCTGTACGTAAATTGTACTGGTGTACTTCTCAAAATTATAATTAAATTAAAAATCAAAATTATAAAAGAAAAGAAAGCTATACTTATACTTATGATATGTGATATGGATGTATAAAATAAAATTTCACATTGATGAAACATAAACCACGAATATGATGTCTTTCGTTAACAATTCGACGAAGTAATTATTCGAGATAATAATAAAATCCATGACATCGACTAACTGCATAACCACAGAGTAATACAGAAAATATTCCACACAATAACCATATTGCGACGCACGTGCATATTCTGCACATGTAAAATCATGACTACTAAGTCTATGTAACTGGTGCCAAATGATGTTTATTTGCAACAGTTCAACTGTCAAGTCTTACCGACCCCCCCGAATCAAGACGGACGATTGCAAGCTGGGACTATCAGTCAGCTGTTGTCCAAGGGCGCTATCTCTTGACCTGGCATTGGTAACCACAACCGATCCATCCAGGGTCCCGTTCCTCCCAGGGTCTCGTTCCTCAAAGCGATCGTAGCGCTAAGGTGATCGTAACTCCCATACTTTAACATAGACCTACGACTATCGTAGCGCTACGATCGCTTTGAGGAATGTGGCCCTGACCCTGTGTTACAATAGCTGCCTTGAACAGCCGCGAGGGGCGGTTCATCTACAAAGAATCTATTGTACAAGTACATCCTTAACACTTGTCATGTATTAAATGCAACAAACACTTGTCATGTTTTAAATGCAAGACTTCCCTTGCTTACAGCAATGCAACCAACAGACATCAAAATAGCTCCGTGCATTCTCTGTTGCAGTAATTGGCAACCATATGGTTTTTCCATTGCCACTGTTCACTGCTTGCCACTTCCATTGTTCAGAGGTGCACAGCAGAGTTCAACAGAGGGATGGAGAGTCTAAAGACCTTAAACTGCCAGCCCAATATGAATATGTTGACAAAATATATCACATGATTAAGGGTGATAGAAGTGTCAATATTAGCTGCAACAATGGGTGTAAATCAACTTTCATGAGAACTTTACCTGGTTTTGAAGAAGGCTCAGTTGTTTTTATAGAGTAATTTGTAACCATGGTGAATGTTATGTTTATCAACTATCAGCCACAGACTAAACAACAATCAATGCAGTGAGATTCCAAAGGAGTCCTACTGAGCTTCCTCTCAAAGGGTCAGAACATTAATATTCAATACAATGCTGTTGTTCGCAGGAAGATGGATGAGACTGACTGACTGACTGAGTTTAGTTTTACGCCGCTTTTAGCAATATTCCAGCAATATCACGGCGGGGGACACCAGAAATGGGCTTAACACATTGTGCCCATGTGGGGAATCGAACCCGGGTCTTCAGCATGACGAGCCAACGCTTTAACCACTAGGCTACCCTACCGCCCCAGATGGATGACACTAAACATCATGTAAATCTCACTAAAGGTATGTTGTTCCTCATTGTCAATATTTCCCAGATTTGGCAATATCAGTTCCAGTCTTGAAAAACGAATTGTCTGGCAAACATTATGCAAATGATGATATCAGGCTGTCAGCTCTGCTGTAGCAGTGTTCAGAACACCAGGATGACACCTTTAACATCAGTGGGACCCAGACACTCCACCATTTACTGGTGTTACTGTCCTTACAAACACTAATCAGATCCAAATATCCCATTGGTCAGTTTACGGACGGGACCAGGTACCATTTGAGCATCTTTGGGTTGTTCTTGTTGCTTGTTCTTGTTTCATCCGGTTCCTTAATGCAGAAAGTGTGGCAAGCAATCCTTTATTAAGGATATCTGTTCGATCAGTGACTGAATGCACACAGCAGAAAGATGGCCATACTCATTACTGACTATTTAACTCTGTTACTTTATGAGA